ATCTCTCTCCTTAAATTTCTAAATGTAGGAATGCCATTGAGAAAATCCACAAACGATGCAGGTTTTAAAATGTATTTATAAATACTACAACTAATGAGGTGGAATGCATATGGCCCGAAATTTAAAAGTTGCACCAGTTAAGATGGAGGTTTTAAACCGACGGAAGCAGATTTAGAATTGCACCTTCCATGTAGATAACTGCGACAAGCATGGACTGCGATGTTTTTCAGAATAAACGTGTAGATATTGTCCGTTTAGAATTAGTATTAGGCAAAAACTGATGATTACGACATCCCACGGCTTATCAGTAAGAGAAAACATGACGTTGCATTGCAAAATTTTGAGTAAATGCAAGCAGGACCTATGACACTAATCAAAACACAAACTCAGCCTGATATACACGAAGTATGTAGCCTGCCATATCCGATAGGTTACTCATCTCAAAACCATTATATCACTTAGTGTTCCTCAGCTGCCCTTCCCATTGCTCAGTGTCTTAAGTTGCTGGTTAGTAGTGCAAGCCAATACTGGTCATGGGTTCGATCTCCAGTAAGATATCAATGGAATGAACGCCACTGGTAAACCAAAGTATGACAAAACGATCGACTGGTACTTTTCCGGATTGTTAGCTTACCCTTGCGTCTTTTAATCTAATTGTGATGAGGAGAATAAACTCATACATTTATTAAAGTTGGATAGTGAATGCATGCATGCGACAGATTAATAAAGCAAATGTATTGGTGATTGATATATTCAAATACGACGAAGATATCGAAGGTTTTTTATTTATTAAGCTTATCTTTTGGAAATAATTATGATGTGTGGAATCTTTTGCAAAATGGAAAAATTTGCTTAAACACAATTAAAATACAATGCTCTAATTAGGATATTTCTCTCAACAATCCAGTCTAATTTAAACAGCTAGAGTTGGCAATACGGTTTATAGCTCAAAAAGAATGTTTCTACCTAAAGCAAAATGCGTGCTACGGGCATCAGTTTTAATACGACTAGTTTGTTATGCGAATTGCTAGATTTACAAAACGAAGCTGACTAACAAGTCATAGCCATGAGTGTTTTTAATGTCTGTCTACATCCTGGCGTATATTTAACCAAATAAAACTATGAGACTTCTTCTTTGACATCATCTTAATCCTATCATGTCTCAAAATGTCAAGAATAGCTCGACTTATAAGACAGTAATTATAGCTGCTGCACGGCGGAGTGCGCATCCGTTTATAACATGTCACTATCAATATTCTTTTATAGTTTGATTCATTGGCAAACCTTGATGCGATTGGCAGTAAATACCGAAGCATTTCAACTGATGGACGATTCGCCACTTTCATTCCATGAAGAAACAAAATCAGACATAAATTCCTCCCTAACATTATATCAAGCAGCGAACAGCATCTTTCGCTTCAGCTGAGAAAAGGATTCTGAAGTATCTCAGTAGATTTCTCATCATATTTTTATTGTACCAGCATTTCAAAACGACTATATCTGGTATATTAGTAAAATAACTCATTTACTACTGGTAGTTAGTTTTAGTCAGACATCCTTTACTGCATTTTTATAAAATACTACAGTGGCTGTACACATAAATGTCCAACTAGAGGTAAAACCACTCTGTTTTATAGGATACAACAAAGGCAGAAGAAAATATCTCTCAATAAGTACCTAATCGTTAGATCAAATACATTGTTTGACTCGATAATATACTCATTTTGCCCTTTAAAATTAGCACTGATTTTCTCAAAATGTATATCGTAAAAGGTACCCGTACGTAGTATCAGTAAACTTTCAACATCAATAAAATTAAGCCTTATAGTCACTACTCATGTTCATATTTGTCCTTCTGTGTTGCAATATTGCAAGTTGGGCCAAACCTACCTACGCAGACAGCAGCCCGGATACAGTTAAAGATAGCTTTTATCAACAACTACATGAACTTCTGCTTTCCCCCAAACGGACTGAATTAGTCATTCTTGCCGCGGACTTTAACGCACGAGTTGGCCGCCTTCCACCAAGCGAGCACCACCTTGGGGGTAGTTTTGGTCTCGGTGGCAGTCGATCAGACAATGGAGACAGACTGCTTGCTCTTTGTTCGGACCATCGCTTGTTTCTTTCGAGCACTAATTTTCGGCACTCCAGGAGACACACTGCTACCTAGCGCCCGCCCTCACACACGCAAGAATGCTCCCAGCTTGACCACATAGCAATCAGCTACAGATGGAGCGGAAGCGGAACGGAATGCCGATCGTACTGGTCAACTTTTCTAGACTCCGATCACGCATTGGTTCGTGTTAAGAGTTGCATGCGTTTCAGAGGATCACCTAAGCGCGCCCACTACCGACCGGACGTCGCGAATCTACAAAACCCTGCGATGTTAACCAGGTACCAAACCTCACTGTCAACCTTGCTTGGCTCAACTATTGATGTGATCTCGATTCGCAGTGGGCGGATAAAAGATACCTTAGTTTCCGCCAGTATCGACACTTGTGGAGTTGCCCGTCACCCACCGAAGCACTGGATTTCCGCCGACTCCTTGTCGCTGATGGACAGACGCCGCTTGATCCCATCGGATTCCAGACACAGGGAGGAACGCCAATACCTTGGTCGAGAGTTGCGCAGGAGTCTGCAAATGGACCGCGAAGCTTGGTGGTGTGAACATGCTAGGGAGATGGAGCTTGCTAGTCTCTCTGGTAATACCAGAAAACTCTTCATCTCATTCGAGTCACCGAAGGTGTTCGATCTGGTATAAGTGGAAAAATATGCAAAGAGGATGGCACCTTAATCACCAATATTCAACGACGGTTGGAGCGATGGGCCGAACATTTTGGCTCGCAGTTTTCTTGGCCCCCAGCTCCATCTACTACCTCTGACGCCCGCGCTGGGGCCGAGTGATCTACCACAACAAACCCTCCCTCTTCCCAGGAAATCGAGCAGGAGCTCCGGCACATGAACCGTTATAAAGCCCCCGGCCCTGATGGTCCTCCTGCGGCTTTAGTTAAAGATGGTGGCGCATCGCTGGTTCGAGAACTCACCGCATTTTTCTAGAAAATTTGGTCGAAAGAGGAAGTTCCGTCATCTTGGGGTGAATCGATAGTCGTCCCCATCTTAAAAAAGGGCCTGCGCACAATCTGCACCAACTACAGAAGAATAAGTTTAGTACCCGTCGTTTGTAAGCTGCTGGTGTTCATCATACTTCGCAGGCTATCCCCAACACGCGGAACGTTGCAACGAGAAGAACAAGCTGGGTTTCGCCCTGGTCGCGGCTGCATCAATCAAATCTTCACACTTCGCCAGATCCTCGAGCTCCGCCATGTGTAGCAGAGGCCAACGATTGCTGTGTTCCTGGATATCCGTGCAGCCTTCGATTATGTCGATCGTACGGCACTGTGGCACTGTCTACTGAGGAATGGTGTCCTCGAGAAGTTCGTCTTCATACTGCGCGCTCCATATAGTCTGACCTCGGGCAGGGTTAGGGCTTATGGCAAGCTTTCGCCTACCTTTGTGGTCTCCAGTGGAGTTCGACAAGGATGCCCTGTCTCTCCGTTCCTATTCAACTTTGCCATCGAGGATGTCTTGAAGAACGCTCTAGGCGATTAGATGAATGCTGGCGTTGAGCTCCTCCCAGGTAGTCGAGTTGATGATTTGGATTATGCTGCTGATATCGTCTTGCTGGTTGACGATCCACAAGTTGTCCAACTTGCATTAAACCGCTTGGCGATTGAAGCATCAAAGTACGGTATGTACTTTTCGCCATCCAATTGCAAGGCTCTCCTTCAAGACTGGCAGTTGCCTCTGCCTGCACTCATGCTTGCTGCTGAGACACTAGAGGTTGTGGAGTGTTTTGCTTACTTGGGAAGTTGCATCACTGCTGGCGGGGCTGTTGGAGACGAGATTTCGATGCGCATCTCGAGAGCAGGCCTCGATTTTTCTAGGCTGAGGCATTTGTGGCGTCGACACGACATTCGTCTCTCCATCAAACGGCGGGACTATTGTGCAACTGTTCGTGCTGTACTGTTGAACGGATGCGAGACCTTGCCCATTCGTAAAGAGGACTTGCGCAGGCTATCCGTCTTCGAGCACCACTGTCTGCGGTCCATTGCCCGTGTGTGGTGGCAGGACACCGTAAGCAATGTGGAAGTTAGACGGCGTGTCTTGGGACGTGGAAGCCACTCGCTCGAGGAGCTCATCTCACTGCATCAACTGCGGTGGTTGGGACACTTATTGCGTATGCCTGTCCAGCGTTACCCCCGTCGTGCGTTGTTTGCACTTACTGGACAGGGCTGGAAGAGACGGTCTGGTGGACAGCCTACAACATGGAGAAGCCGCATGAAAAAGCTGACGAAAAAGTTGGCCTCGGCCGGTTGTTGTCGACAACCTGGTTGGGGTCCGGGTACATGCATGCAGCCACCGTCCGGGATCGCACAGTTCGGTGCTTTCTTGAGCCAAAATTGGCCGCGGAAAACAAAGCAATTACGTTTCAGGTTCAGCGACACCACATAGTAAATAACGTCAAATGCACCGGAGACACTGTTAACTAGGTTGCAGTACTACGGCTTTCTCTGTGGAAACCTTATCAAATAAGTGTGAATGCTCACGGATAATTGGTCTCTTTACTTCGCAAACTGAATTAGGTCACTCTCACCTAGAGTAGCTCGCTTCATGTTTGTGTAACCTCCATTCCATTACGCTAACAAATGATGACTCTATGGCAAAGTAGTGAAAGTGACGGAGTATGATTACCCCGGTGCAGTCATTCCCACTTCATAAGATTGCTACAGAGAACGCCGTGGTCGCGAACCTAGGTAACAGCATCTCCCTCGTATTGGAAAAAGCTGTCGCAAGATCCCTGTGTCCAAACGGCCTGCTCAGTGTTATTGTGTCGATCATATGTTTCACACTGGTAAACACAAAATCTACGACAGCCGGTTTGTTTCCTCTTCTGGAACTCGTAGGCCAGGAACTGTAAATATAAAGTGGTAACCCAGCAATTAGTTATTGCATTTCGGCTTACGAGGCGGAGCGGGTCGCCGGGGAGCGGGAGGCGCGCGGGATATCGGCGGTTCGCGGCGGCGCGGGCGCGCGGGCCGGCCGGTTCGTGCTGTTCGTACGCGGCGATCGGCGCGGTTCGGCGCCGGCCGGGGGCGGCGCGGGGCGCCGAGGGTCGCCGGGGCCTGGGCGGGCGTGGGTCGTGACGTCGTCGCGTGGGGGCGGGTTCGCGCGTCGTCGGTGCGCTGCGCGGGAGTGGCGGAGGGGTCGGCGCGGAGTGCGGGTCGTTCGTCGGCCCGCGCTGGTGCGTGCGGATCGGGCGAATGGGGCCGGGGGTACGCGTTTTCGGCGGGCCGCTGGTCAGTCGCGGTTGAGTTCGGCTGGGGCGGCGTGATGCGCGCGCACGGCGTGCGGGCGTGGTCGCGCGTCGGCCGGAGGGCGCCGGCGATGCCGCCGGCCGGCCGTGTGTCGCGCGCGGAGGCGATTCGGACGGGGGGCGGGGGCGCGATTCGATTTTCGGAGGATTCGCGGCGCCGTCGCGACGGCTGTCTGCTTCGGGGCGCGACGCGTGGGAGGGGGGTGAGTCGGGGTCGGGCACGGGTGTGGCGGGCCGTGGGTGCGTGTGGCGTCGTGGGGGGGGGTGGCGGTGGGCGGTTTGCGGGCGGCGCGTTCTGAGTGCGCGGGCGCGCGACGCTGCTGCGGCGTACGGTGGGGGTGCGCGCTGCGCGCGAGGGCGGCAGGGCGGCGCGTTGCGCGCGGGCGTCGTCGGACGTTCGAGCGCGGGGTGTTCGCGCGCGCTGTTCTGGGGTTCGGACCCGTTCGGGGCTGGCGCGGTTTTTCGCCGCGAGGGTCAGGACGGTCGCGCCGCGTGGGTGTGGGGAGTGGTTCGAGCGCGCGATGCGGGGCGCGGCCGGGTTTTCGTGAGTCGCGGCGATTCGGCTGGGAGGGTAGCGGTCGAGGTCCGGATGCAGTGAGACGGTGAGCGACGGCGGCGCGGGAAGGGCGGGGTAGAGGGGCGTTGGGCGGATGGGGGCGAGGCGGGGTCGGCGCGCTGAGATCGCGTGGTGTTTCTGTGGGCGTGGAGCGCCGGGGGTTCGGCTTTCGGCGGGCGGCGGGGCCGAAGCGCGGCTGTGGACGGCCGACGGGCGTGAGCGGATCGCGCGCTGCGTGCGCCGCGTCAGCGGCGGGGCGGCGGGCGACGGGGCTCGGCGCGGTATCGCGGGCGAGGAAACGCGTCGGACGCGCGCGGGCCAGTAATGGCCGGTTTCGCGAGCGCGGTCGGCGCGCGCGCGGGGCGGGGTTCGTGGGCGGGGGGGGCGCGCGGTTCCGGCGCGTGGGCCGTCAGGCGCGGCCTTTCGTCGACGCCGGCGGGGATGAGCGCGGCGCGGACGCGAGAAGGTAACGGCGGGGGTTCGGCGCTGCCGGTTGGGGGCGAGTTCGTCGCGGGCGTTGGGCGGGCGTCTCTCGGCGCGGGCTCGGCGTCGCGGGCGTTAGGAGGCTGTGAGGGTTCGATCGCTGCTAGCGGCTGGCCGGGGTCAGCGGCGGACGTCGGGGTGCGTCTGGCGCGCCGGCGCGTACGTCGGCCGCGGCGGGGCTGGAAGTTCGGTAGCGGGCCGTTTTACGAGCCCGAGCGGCGTTCGGGTCGTGGGCGGAGGCGCAGGTCGGGTTCGCGGGGCGGGTTCGGCAGCCTGCGGGCGCGGAGGCCGCCGTGACGGTGGGTCGGACGACGACGATCGTGGGGTGTTCGGGACGCGGGTGGTCGGTTCTGCGCGCGGCGCGCGCGCGGGAGGCGGAGGATTCGCGAGACCGGCGGCTCGCCGCGTGGGCGGGGGGCGAGTGGCTGCGCTGGACTTCGGACTCGGCGGCGGGGGATAGGGCGGGGGGGTGAGGGCTTCGGGATCGTGTCTTTGCTGGGGGGGCGGGGTGTCGCGCGGGGATTCCGGAACCGGGGCGGGGACGCTCGCGGGGTTCGCGGGCGCGCGCGGCCGGCGGTCTGGGCGGCCGGTTCGGTGGGCGACGGGGCGCGGCGTGTGCGGGTGGGGGCGCCCCACGTGCGGGCGCGCGTCGTTCGTCGGTGGTGGGCGGTCGACGCGCGGGGGGCGGCGCGCGGGAGCCGCGCGGGCGTCGCGCTCGGTGGGCGACCGGCGTTCCGGCGGGCTGTGCGGGCGGACGTGTCGGTGACGCCGACGGGGGGGGTCGAGCGCGGCCCGGATCGGGGCACTCGCGCGCGGTACGGTTATAGTTAGTGCAGATCGGCGCGTGCGCGGGGTTCGCGAGCTCGGGCGGATGGGCCGTGGCGTGGAGTGCGTGCTCTGGTCCTCCGCGCGGGGACGCGCGGCAGTTGTGCTGTCGGCAACGGGGGGGTGCCGTGGGGGAGTCCGTCGGGCGTTCGCGTGAGGTCGTTCGACGTTCGAGGGCGGGTACGCGGGGCCGCTGGGGGGCGCCGGGGGCGGGGAGTCGGGTTTCGGGTGTGGACGCGTGAGTCGCGCGGCGTGGCGGTTACGCTGCGCGGGACGGTCGCTGCGCGTTCGGACGGATTCCGGCGGCGCGAACGCGGGGTTCGTGAAATCGCCGGGGCGGTCGCGCCCGGCGCGGGTCGTTCGCGTTCGCCGCCGGCGCTGGCGGCGGGTGTGTGGGGGTAAGAGTGGCTGCGCGCGGTGGTGGCTTAGGGTACGTCGAGGATGGCCGGGTTGTGGAGAGCTGATGTGGTGGGAGTTGTCGTGGTTCGAGTTCGGATGCGGTCGGCGCGCGGGCGAGGGGCGGCGTCGTTCGGCGGGGGGTTTCGCGCAGGGCGCCGGCGAGGCGCGGGGGGGGCGGGGTCGGGGCGAGTTACGAGCGCGGCGGGAGAGGTATTCGTCGGGCCGGTCGCGGTCGATCGTCGGGCGATTCGCGGGGGGCGCGTTCGAGAGCTGGACTCGTCCGGGGCCGGGGAGGGGCGATGGCGGCGGCGAGCGCGTCGACGCCGCGTCGCGGGCGCGGGGCGGTGGGTTGCCGCTGAGGTGTCGTGCGACGGGTCGACGGCTGGCGGCGGGTTCAGTGCGGGGTGCGGGCGGCGGCGTAGCTCGCGTCTGGGAGACGCTGGTTTCGTTCAGCGGTCGGGCCGGCGCGGGCAGATTCGGGCGGTCCGTGGGCGGAGCGAGCGGGATGCGGGAGGGGGGGTAGGGGTGGGGGGGTGGCGGCGAGCGCGGATGGGCCGGGGCGGGCGAGCCGTGCCGGCTGATGCCGATTCGTGGGTGGGGTGTGTGAGGGGCTTCGTCGCGCGGCCTAGCGACGACGTGGGCTCCGGCTCGGGACCACTAGTGACGGCTTTAAATTGTTCACTGAAGATGGCTGCAACCTCCCCAACATGCAAGTTAAATTCCCTGGCAAGGATAACGTGACTATAAGACTGTGCTTAAACCGTCTTCAGACCATTAGGTAAACAGCGTTTTATTAATCATCTTCTATTAATCATATTCGAAGCTGGGAGCGGCTGAACTGAGATGTTTACATAACTCGGTAAGCTGAAATGCTAACTATCCAGTGGCGCAACTTGCTTTGCCGTCATGGGTGAGATGGGATCCAGAGGAGCGACATGTGTGTCTACGCTCGCAAGGCTTACCGAACCGTTCGACTATGAGCAATAAACGTTACCAAACACCACAGCCGCAATCAACCTGCCATGCGTGGCTCGCAGGGAAAGACCAATGGAATGCACAAAGTTCGGCTGTGAGAAGAGAAGTTTAACCAGACATCAAGCTGCACTGAAGGTTTCGTGTTGCAGTCGATCGGTAGCCGGCCTTCACTAAGGTAAAAACATCCAACGGGTTCTTTGCTTAGTGGGTTGCTGTTCCAGGAATTAGAAAAACAGCTTAGGCATATGTGATGACCGGTCAACGGTTATCGTATTGCTAACACCACAAAAGGTCTTATCGCCTCATCATAGTGTTCAACAAACCGGTGAGATTTTATTAGGCTGCTTTCGCTGCTAAAGGGAATCATACTGGCGGGAGCACATTGCAAGGTTACTGTGTCGTTTGGTAAAAACCGTATACTGCTGAGCCGTACTCTAGCATTTGACACATTTTCGAGAAGAAAGGACGAGCGTTATCACTTCAGACTAATTGCCAAGGTTGCGTTTGAGCGCCCAAAGCATGATTTGGCGTTTTCCGTAAAGCCTATTCTTGTTGTCCATGCAGCTTGATCAAGTTTTAGGGCGTCGATGTTATGCGACAATGCAACTCAGAATGCTTGCCAAGAAGGACTGGTGCTTTGTGTAAAGACGGGACGGATTTTCCAATATCTCACTCGCGTTTGTAAGCTTGGGTGTGTGGCTGTATTTCAAGCCGCATTTTGTAAGGTCGTCAAGTAAACGGATCTTGGGGGAACTACTGGTATCAAACTTTGTGCTTCTGCTTGTTGACTGATAGGTTGCTCACGTGATGAAGTCTCGGTAAACGCATTAATTACGCACGTCGCTCTTTCTGTGGGTGGCTGTCTTACGCTGCAGCTTTACGACGTAAATCCTTAAAATCTTGCTGTTCGAGAGTAATGCAACTGAAAGGCTTGGTGTCGATGTTGATAGGCATCATAGAATTTGCTCTGCCTCCGTCGATTGGGGTAAGGCTTTAAGCTTCTTCAATGGCTGCTCCGATCACAGCTTCTTACCACTCTTGTGACCCGACTCCAGTGTTGCTTTAGCTTTACATTTACCCTGAAGCATTACATTCAACACTTAAGTATCATGTGTGTTCAACTGGGACTGTCGAACGCATGCAAATCGGTCCCTTTGGTACACCAACGCTCACGCGCCCAAACAAACGGCGATTTCACTAACGTGATAGTTTTTAGGCAAGTTACCGAGGTAATAAATATGTTAGGTTTTGTTCAGCAACTTATCTGGTCAGCGTAAACCACTAATGTCACATTCATCCTTGCTCTGCGATCAATCAGAAGCACGTAGAGATAGAATTATTGGCCGTCATAATTCGCTGACAGGAAAGCGCATCATCAGTTCATCATGTCTTGGAGGCATGCGTAATTGTGGCTCGCATCTTGACCAATTACATAACAACGCTTGTTATGCATTAACTTTATTGCAGTGCTGCCTAATTTGTGCCGTATGTTTCCCATCATGGGTGTATGAAGCACCTTCTTTATTTGAGTTCACTCGCTCCTTCTATTTAGCATTCGCTATAGCTAGTAACACGGAGTTGTTATCGGTGAAACATATACTAATACTGTCGCATCCTCAGCCGCATTGAAGTCTTAGTGCGCAGCTTGGTGAATGTCAACCGCTATCTCTTGATATCAGGAAGCCTCATGTGCTGCGGTGGTCGCATCAGTGATGAAGCCTATGTGCTCCTCTCGATTGTCGCCTGTTTGCCCACGCACGCAATGCGCCTGTCGCATGCAAATGCTTGCTCAGACAAACACCTGGTAACCTACGGTACAAGGATACTGGCTACCGACTGTGATGGAGTGCGAATCAAATATCATCATTTTACGCCGACTGAGATTGTTTAATTGAGATAGCTTGGTACGCACCGTCTTCTTTTCTTTCTGTGTCACATATTCATCCTACTGCACATCTGTTGACCCAAAGCTTTAATAATCTTAGCCGCGTCCAGTCATCGGTCATCGCCGTTGGAATTAATTGCTCTTGACCAGGTGCTGTCAGCACCTCTTCACTCCCACTGTGACTAGATTTCCCTCTAGAATTAACTCGGACCTCCTAGTGACTGACAACGCTTGACCAATGAGCTAGCTACGCGACAGCTAAGGCAACTCAGCAAACGACCCATGGGCAAAAATTCTAAAAGAATAAAATATTATGTGGAAATCCTTAGGACTGGACTTCAATGCCCTATGGCTTAACTTTTATTTGACATGTTATGAATCTGAATTGATATATTCTCATCACCATCACTCAAACAACGTAGAAGGATTAAGAAGTTAACACACTAACCTCAAATATCTCTCCTAAAATAATAGAATCGCTTTCATTGGAGAATATATATAAATCTTAACCGTTTTGCGCAACCGCAACGCTTTTACTTTAGGCTATTTTTACAACAGCTATATGTTCGAAGCTCTAATGTGCTTTTTGAATCTGTGTACGTAAATTGGATTTATAATCTTATTCCATTAAAGAGTCCACATCCTCTTTATTCTCTCTGTCCATTTTCCTTGGTTCTAGTCTAAAAACTACATTCTGCATTCTGCATTCTAACACCTTGATGTTAACCATGAACTCTGGCATCTGATTTCAAGGACGGCTAGTGTCCGATGCGCTTTCACTAGCTGTCTTGAAAGAAAGTGCAATTGAATTCACCATGTTTTTGACGGATCTACTGAATCGGTGCATACACGGTGGAATTGTTCCAGATGTTTGTAGGCTCGTGAGTATAACGCCCATGCAAAACAAGGGATCTACCAAATTCCGTACTATCGTCTGTACACCCGTCTTGCTAAAAGTATTCGAACGACTACTACACCTGGGATCTTAACAAAACTCCAGCCATATACTTCTATTAGTTTGCGTACAGACCACGACGCTTCACGTTGAATGCCAATTCTTGGGAAATACACTCAAAAGACTTGGATCATTAAGCTATATCCTACGAAGTCTATAATTTTGAACTAAGATCAATGACACCCTGGTACACCACAAACGAATTCTTCACAAATTTATTCCCTTAGGCCAACGTGATTAAATTGCTTATTTGGGTTTCATCAGTAAATCTGAGATACGATCCGACAGAGCTGCTTTAAGGCTTTCAGTCAATATATAACAGTACTGTGTACAACTGTAGAAAGATGCAGGCTATTTGTCATCTCACGTTACCGCCGTATTTTAAAGTGCATTTCACTGCTCAAAGTGTGCGTGAGTTGGTCTAACCGTGCGACTAGAGACGCACTACAAACAAACCAGCTGACCGGAGCGGATAACTGGGGCAACCCAAAAGTCATGACCAGCGCAAGCTAAAAGTGCAAACCGACCATTGACTCATGGGCACGGAAAGATTCTCGTTGGTGAATAAACTGCGAAAAAACCAAGAACAATCGTAGGTCAGACAAACAAGGAACATAAATCCCCTATACCACTTTCGACTGTTTTCAGCCTTAACGCAATTTCTTTAACACTTTACTCAACAGCCTTTGTCTCTAATGTGGAAAATTTAATCCAATACGCATCCAATTTTAATCCACATCGCAGTGAGTGGTCAGCCGTAACCAGTCAATGACGTTTCGATGCGCATACATCACCTGTGTACATACGTAGCTTGCGGGTGCCGAGTAGGCGCTCAGACCATTGCAACCCTGTGTGTGTGTCGTGTCCTGCAATGCAAGCTACCTAATCGTGCTTTGCGAACCCGTGTGCGTATTGGCGCACGTAGGTAACGCAGGCGGCTCACACTGAAGCACAGTTCAGCGGATATGCATATAATAAAATAGCGTGGCAAAGCCCAGACCTAACGGTCGTTGCATGCACTTCGCGGGAGTTGCCGACTCTGGTAGGTGCAAGTCAGAGTTGACACAATCGCGGACCCAAATTTTACGTATGCTACCAACAAATACGTGCGAGAAGTGAATTGTGTACGTGTTGGCGGTTAACTTGTCCAAAATATCTATGTTTTTCCTACTCGGCAGCGGTGCACCATCCCAGTGAACCACGTAGTGAAGCCGTAAGTGAAAATTTCAGTGCATATATCCTGTTGCTAAATCCAAGGGCGAACCACAGAAATTCCACTTCGTTGCTTCAATTCGGTTAGATAAACAATCAAATAAATAAATAAATATTTTATTCTCGACTATGCGAGGCACGCCTATTAAGGCATGATCAGGTATGTAAAGCTGTACAGACATTTTATGGAAACTGTAGTGACAGTAGAAAATTGTTCATATGTCCATGCTTGGAACTGTGTAATAGTGAACATGCGAAACAACGATTTGGTTGTAGTGGGATCGGGATCCATATGTTTGGATATAATCGCTCTGCCATATATCACAGT